GAAACGTGTCAAAATTTTAAGTCGATCGGACTAGAAACAGCTGAGTTATCGAGGTTAGAGTAAAGTCGTTTTGTAGTTTGTTTAAAAAATCCTTTTTCACCAAGACAATGCACCCTGCCACAAGTCGATGAAAACAATGGCAAAATTGAACGAATTGGGCTTTGATCTGCTTCCCCACCCCCCATACTCGCCAGATTTAGCCCCCAGTGACTACTGGCTCTTTGCTGATCTTAAAAAAATGCTCCAGGGAAAAAGATTTGGCTCAAATAAGGAGGTCATCGCTGAAACTGAAACTTATTTTGAAGCGAAAGATAAATTTTTTTATAAACATGGTATTGAAATGTATCACCCTAAAAGGTGATTATGTTGATGAATAAAAAAAAATTTTGCAAAAAAAATGTTGTTTTCATTGTTAGTCTCGGGACTTATTGATCCATGTGTTATATATAAAGAATCAATTTTTAACTTAAACTTTAATGTATAAACTTTCTTCTTTTTAAATAATATTAAGATTAAAAACGAGAGCATTTATGAAAATACATCAACTAAATACGAGAAGCGCTAATTACGATCAAGTTAGATTTTGGACTAATACATACATAATCGTGCTTAAACGGCCGAAGCACGACCGCACACGGACATGGGCTCATGCCTTTGTGTGTGTGTATCACGACGGCGGCTCGACCGTCAGCGCCATTTGCTGCAGTATCCCCTCCACATGCTGTAAAATGTCATAAACGAGCTGGAAATAGCATCACTGTGACGCTATGGCATTATTATTTCCTAACTAAGTTCCCAGATAACAAAACATTTCTTGGCATAATTACTCGGAGTTGTGCAAACACAGTATGCAGCACACAATTTGTATTAGGTAATTTTAATAGATTTGGTTATATATATCTGGATTTGTATATTATATTATACATAAATTTATAAAAGAAGTGTAATACATGGCGTAATATGCAGGAGGTCTCAAAATATTTGAGATCATTAAAAATTGCACATTGTACATAACTTTTAGATCCAATTTAATCCGACCTACTTGCACATTGAGTATTGTCTCAAATTTTCTGGGGACATTTTTTATAAATGACTTTCAAACGAAATAGAAATAAAACAAACAACAGTATATATATATATATAAGTACAAAATATAAGTACATAATATAAGTGCAAAGAAATAAGAGAAGTTCCAATTTTTAAACTATATAATTCTAACGAATTAATCAGATATTTTGATTTATTACATTTTTTTTATTTTATTGTTTGCGATTTATATAAACCTGATTTCGTTGCTCCTTCTTTAAATATGAAATGTAAATCTGATCATTTAACCTGCAAATAATTCAATTAGTTAATACCTGTTGCATATGAATATTTTTCAGAGAAAGTGTTTAAAAAATATAGTTCACTTGAAAATAGGACAACTCAGCGAAAAAGAGTCGCAGAATAAATTTCAAAAAATTTGAAGAAGAGACTTTAAGCTTCAAAATAACTATAATAAAAGTTTTTTAACATTGTTTAACAACATTGTGTCATACACGATTTCAAAATTTAATACTTAAAAAATTTTTTTACAGTTATATTCAAATTATTTAATAAAAGGAAATGATTTGCTGGTCAAATGGTTTATAATGTGTCTTATAATTGAAGCTTTAACCTTCAAAATGTTTTTTTAGTTTTTCTCTTTGTAACCATGATGTAAGATTCTGGATATATTTCACGATTGAAAGTAATCTCTTAAATTTGATGCATAATATATTTAATAGCAATTAAATAAATAAATATGAAAAAGAATGATAAATATGAAAAAAATCTTATCGTAATATTTATGACAAAGTGCATATGATAGACAGATGAAGATTAGACATATTAATTATATTGTATATATGGTATGTACATTACCACTAAACGCTTTTCTCGATTGCTGATCTCTTAATTATATTAAATTCTTGAAAATATGAATATTCTGCAAACCAGCAGGATATTCCGTGCCAGTGTAATTCGGAGCTTGTCTCTTGTCGCAAATCATCTCCTCGTCAGATGGGATTAAATCGTCAATTAAATCCAGATATTTATCGAAGGGACACAGTGTGTCACAACCTGGGATTGTAAGATCGTCGATAGTTGGTGGAATGCCCCGATAATACACGAGCTAAAACAATCCACACATGATTACATGATATATAATATATATAATTGTATGTATATGTATATTATTTCTTCTTTCATTATTAGAATAACACATATATTGCTTGTATGATAAAAATGTTTACCTTCACATAATACTCTTGCTGGATCTGTTGCAATTCCAAAATAACTGCGCTAGAATATTCAGGTACATGCGGCTTATACACACCAAACGCGTGCAACATACTTGCAATGTTGGTCTCGTGACCACTGTATAAGTAAATCTTCGTTTTTGGCGCAGCATTTGGATTTTGTGCAGCTATCATACTGTCTGTCATAACACGGATCATTGGACCTAAAATAATGCAAGAGCATGTAACTATACTAACAAAATTCTAATTAAAACTGCAGTTTTCAATTTAATCGTGTAAAAAAATCTATCACATTTGTAATAGATTAAAGTTTTATACATATAATAAATTTAATTTGTAAATTTTACGTCAAAATTTTTGAAGATTTTGTTATACATACATATGTATGCAATTGAGGGGCTAGATTCTATAAGGGGATACCTGTGGTTTTTCGGACTCATAAATGCAATTAAATACTACCATATATATTATAATTGCAATTACCCAATGAGAAATGACAATGGAATCGATGTCGAATTAACGTCGATTAGATATTAATTTGATGATTTTGATATTGAATCAACATCGATTCGATATTGATTCCATTATCATTTTTCACTGAGTTAAATACTACTATGCGTTCCGAACTTCATTGCCAGTACTGAAAATCTATAGCACAACACGTAACGTATACTATATAGTTTTAGCACTAGCAGTGAATATCGGAACGCACCCTATATAATTGCGTTTATAAATCCGAAAAACTAATTCGGCGTGCAGTTCAAGTAACTACATATTTAGTATAAAAATTCACATAGAAATTATTTAAGTAGCTAAGATCCAACTTCGACCGTCATTAGGTTTTAAATTCTTACTTGTTGTGAATTCACATATACAATCTTAATAAATCGTTTATTATTTTATAAAAGTAGGCACTGACCTAGCCGCGACCGTTTAGTGAC